AAATTTCACTAAGTATAATACCACAGTGAGAAGAGATATTTTCTCTCTTATCACTAGTACTGCTATATCGTTACGCCAGTAATAAAGACTAGAACCAATCTAGAGTAAAGGCACTAGGCAATCTACTAAAAAAGGAACGACGCTTTCTTTAGCGATCCCTAACCAACTATAGTAGTCAGTGTAACACACGAAGAACTTGGAGAAACCACTAAACCACTAAAAGCGCTTTATTCATCATTGTTGTGGTCTTAAATAGATTTTTAATATTAGGTCTTAAATAGATTTTTAATATTAGGATAACTCCGACCACATACAGCGTTACAATTTTAGTAAAGCTTATCTAGTTTGAGCGCTTTAAAATCACCCAGAACTGTATATGTCAGATATTTTAGTAATTTTGATTGATAGATCATGTAGTAAAGGGCTTTTTTGTAGGACAAGGCTTATAACTTACTCTACGTTTACTGAATAAACCTCACCATTTATTGAACTATAATAATTTATTGTATGAATAAGAAGTGATTGTATTTATCTAATCAAAATTTTGATCGTCCGTTAATTGGTTACGGAAAATTACAATCTTCGGTTTTAAAAGATCTAATGTAACGAAACTATATTATCTAGATCAACCGCAACAAGTCCAACAGAAACATCAAATACCAATAACCTCGAGTAGACAAGGTAACACGCGTATACTTACTTGATATTTTAAAAAAAATTCACAGTCTTTATTTCATCTCTCAACAATTTTATAATTATTATAATAGTATGAGAAATGTAAAACTTTGTCATTATCAAGAAATAAATATTTTATGATACAGTATGCAATAGCTTTTAATGTACACTTCCAATGATTTATTATAATGGCTCATTGTATGTAAATTTATTTTCATACTGACATTAGCGTTTGTTAACAGGTAGTATTAGTAACAGTTTGCTTTATAAACTAGCATACCAGTTTGATGCACGGTTGTGATGAGGTGAAATTGTTGAAGATAATGACTATCAATGATACTATTTAGACCTAATTATAAGCTGGGAGAATCAAATGGATCTAATTTACTAATACTATCAACTGTGTTTTAATATAGAAGAACTTTTTAGGACGTACTTCGACATGATCGCTACGAAACTTCCTATAAGTAAATTATTTCAATTGGGAATTTCATTACATTTAACATATAATGAGATAAATGAAATTGTATCAAGCACTAAAATTGATAGTGATTACGAAAAAAAATATCGAGTACTAGAGTTGTGGAAGCAAAAGAAA